TCCTCCGGCTCCCTCCTCCTCCGGCTCCCTCCTCCTCCGGCTGTCCTGGTCCTCCGGCTGTCCTGGTCCTCCGGCTCCCTCCTCCTCCGGCTGCCCTGGTCCTCCGGCTGCCCTGGTCCTCCGGCTCCCTCACCCTGCGCACCTGCCGGGCTTCTGTCTAGCGGGCATGGCGGGCTTGAGCCCCGAGCTCATCGACTACCTGGAAGAAAAGATACCGTTTGAGGAGTTCGAGCGGCGCAGGGAAGAGCGGGAGAAGGTGGGAGACGCCGGGCCGCGCCCACCCCGGCGGGCTCGGGGGGCGTGTGGGGTTCCGGAGCCGCGCACTCCCTCCCGCGCGCGGTCTCCGTACCGCATCGCGGTGCCCTAGTCAGTGTTTTGGGGTTTTTTGTTTTGTTCTTTTAGTGTATTTGGTACAGGGCCTCACTGCGCAGCTCAGACTCCGGGGATCCTGCTCTTTTCAGCCTCCCAAGCACTGAGATTACAGGCCTCTGTCACCAAATAGTGCGCGGGGAGGCCTGTGGGGCCAGGGATTGAATCCAGGTCCCTAAACTTGCTTGAACAGATGCTTAGTCCCCTAAGCTAATCTCACTGGCCCTGTAACTTGATTTTTTTTTTTCTTCCTATTCCCAATCCCCGTTTCAACCCTTCCTTGCCTCCCCATTTAAAAATTTTTTTCTATTAGGTTTTTGTTTTGTCTTGTATTTTAGCAAAGGGTGTTCAGGGTCTCACTACTAGGTCGGACTCACCACGCCCAGCCTCAAGTGCCGTCTCAGCGTGCCCTGGGACCCGGCCGGCCTGGCAGGTTCGGGGATAGACCCCCTGACCCCTGTGCCTTCTTTGGTCTTTTTGAGACAGCCTTCAGGCTGGCCTTGAGCTCACTTTGAAGCCCAGGCTGATCTCAAAATCCCAATAATCCTCCTCCTCCTCCTGCCTCCCAAGTGCTGGCATTATAGGCCTGTGCCACTACCCTTCACCATGTTTTCTTTATTTTCACTTTTTTTTCACTTTCCCCTTTTTTCCTTACTGCCTCCTCCCTCTTTATGTCTGTTATTTTTGTCTCGTTGCTGGAACTAGTACCCAACACTCGAAATGAAGGAAGGCATGGTTTATTTAGCTCAGTTACTGGAGGTTTTAGTCCATACTGGCTGGCTCCAAGGCAGAGCGGCACGTTTCGGAGAGCAGCAGCCTTCGGTGGCAGCGGCAAAGGGCAAGAGCAAATGGAGGCAGTAGCAGCACCGGAGCGAGTCTGTGTGTCTCACGTTCCATTCAGCTCTCCACCTCAGGGTGGGTGTAGCCCTCACACCCATAATCCCAGCAGTGTTCAGGCCCATAATCCCGAGCTTGGGTCATGAATTATTCACAAACCGGAGAACTACGCCTCAGTGACAGCATGAGGCTTTGAGGGGACAGATACATACAAGCCGTATTACCTTGTATAACATTTTTTTCCTGTTTCTCAATACCTAGTGCAGCCGAAGCACAAACTAAACTTCCCAGCAGGCAGCGCGCCGGCCTGGGACCGGGGGCAAGATGGCGGACGCCGAGGAGGAGGTTGCGCAGCCGGCTGCCCCTCCCGCAGCCCCAGTTTCATTCAGCTGCACTCGCACCTCAGTCCAGAGGCGGCTGGCGGCCCCGGGGGACGGCACGGGGTCAGCCCAGGAGGAAGAGGATTTCTTGAAGATCCTGGAAGGAAGGGAGCTGCAGAGTGTGAAGCCTGTAGACGCCCTAAGGAGCTGGCCATCCCGGTGATCCAGAATGGCTGTGGAAGGCGGCCCTGGGCCCAGGCGTGTGCGCCATCCGCCGAGGCTTTGGAGGATGGGGCCTTGTCCCAGGCTGTGAAGGAGCTCGTTGAGGACACCAAGAAGTCTCTGGAGGGGAGAGAGAACTCGGGTGTTGACTCCACGCTTGCTATCCCCGTGACCCGGAAAGGATACACTCCCAGTGAGGAAGGGGCAGGCAGCACACCGCAGCATGAGACGGTGCCAGAGGAGGCCGATTATGAGGCTGTCCCTGTGGAGGCTTAGGGCTTGGCCGTGTTGCGGGGCATGGGCTGGAAGCCTGGCGAGGGCATTGGCCGCACTTTGAATCCAGTGGTGAAGCCCCGTGTGAACTTGCTGAGGCCCAAGGGACTAGGGCTGGGTGCCAACCTAACTGAGGCCCAGGCCTTAGCCTCCAGTGGCCCCTACTGCCCCCCAAGGCCAGGTGGAGAGCAAGGGAAGGGTAAGGAAGACCAGCCACAAGGGCTGGTGCCTGGAGGAGCTGTGGTGGTCCTTTCTGGCCCTCATCAACGTCTCTACGGGAAGGTGGAAGGTCTTGATCCTGACAGTGTGCGGGCCATGGTTCGTCTAGCAGTGGGCAGTCGCATGGCGACTGTTAGCGAATACTGTCTGCAACCCGTGTCCCAGCAGGAGATTGGCAAGAATTCCTTGTGTTCTAGCCAGATAAGCAGAACTTCCTCAGGGCAGCACAATGGAGCATCCCTGTCACAGAAGGCCCTCCAGAGTGAAGACCTCCAAGGTCAGTGGGAGAACTCTCCCAACAGACTGGAGGGGCCTGTGGCCAAGAGTGAAAAAGCAGCCAGCAGGAGTCGGCACTGGCTGCACCAGGACTTGTGTGTGCGCGTTGTGGACAAGCTCTACAAGGGTGGCCAGTATTACAACACGAAGATGACGATTGAAGACGTCCTGAGCCCAGATATATGTGTGTGCCGGACAGATGAAGGCCGTGTCCTGGAAGGCCTAAAGGAAGACATGCTGGAGACCCTGGTTCCCAAGGTCAAGGGCAATCGTGTGATGGTGGTTCTGGGGACATTGGCTGGAAGAGTAGGCCATCTGCTGGGCCGGGACAGAGCCCAGAGCCGGGCTTTGGTGCATCTGCGGAGAGAAAATCAGTTGGTGGAACTTCACTATGATGCTGTCTGCCAGTACGTGGGCCCTAGTGATTCAGATGAAGATTGACTGTGGGGCACTGCTGTCCTGTGGGTCCTTGGCAGCTCTGTACTGCCCTAAAAGTGGCCTTGGAGAAGTGCCAAGTCCTGCAGTGCGGGATGGGGAATGGATGGATGGACCAGAAAGGGACTAGAATGAAGTTCAGCATTTATTAGAATTGAATGTATAATAAAACCATTGGAAATACTAAAAAAATTAAAATAAATAAAACCTAGTACACACTTTGGTCCTTATTTACACTTTATATTTCTTATAGGAGAGAAAGTGCGATTTACACCTAAGTTTATCTTATGGTAGTCTTCCACTGTATAAACACCTTTTTACCCATTCCTCTGTAATGGACATATGTGTTCTTTCCAAGGTTTAGCTATTGCGAACTGTGCCACTGTAAACACGGGTGCGTGTAGCCCTGCGGTATGATGCTTTAAATGCTTGCAGGAAGATATCAAGGACGGGAATAGCTGGGACAAGTGGGACCTCTAGTCTAGTTTGAAATGTCCTCTTGCCAGGGACACGGGAGGGCTGAATCTTCACTTGTTAAATGCAAACTTTCACTCCCAGAGTCTTCAGGAAGAAGGAAGAGTGTCAGCTGGGGAGCACCCAGGTGACGCTGAAGTGCCATCCTCGTCGGGAATCAGCTCTGCCAGAGCCCACCTCAGGGGTGCCAGTGAAGGTACAGTGAGCCCGCTCGCCGCCCGCACTGACCGTTAGGGACCTAGGGTCGTCCCAGCCCGCTGTGCGGCTGTGAGGCAGGGTCTCGGGCATTGTGTGGGCTCTCCACACACCTGCGATCCTCGTAACAGCCTCCTGGGCAGCTGGGACTGCAGGCCTGTGCCTCCCGTGTGCCTGGCTCAAAAAAATCCTTGTTTTGAGTTGGTGAAGTTTGTGAGCTGTATTATTGGAAAGTGTTGGCTTTGGGGCCTTTTTATCTGTACTGAGTGGTTGTGTGGTCCTCGGGATTGAACTCGGGAAGCACAGAGCCATGTCTCCAGTCCTTTTGGTCAAGGACACAGTCCTTCTCTGTTGCCTACGGGCCTGGGTGTCACCATCAAGGTGCCCCACGTAGGGGCTTCCTAGGGTCGGTCTGTTCTGAATGGGCCTTCTCAGGCGGGCCTACCTGCAGCCTGTCCTCCCCCAGTGTGTAGTGAGCTCCACTGGGTGCAGAGTGGTTCTCAGCTGTGTGAGACGGGAAGGCCACCTGGCTGGGCTGATGGGGCTTTACAGGGAGCGTCCAGAAACACTTTCTGTCTAGACGACAGTTCCTCACAGAAGGGTCCTGTTTCCTAGGTCCAGCTCTCAGCCTTGCAAATCTAGACAGCAGGTGTGTCAGTGCCTCCCAGCTAGTTAAGTTTCTTGGAACCGGACTGATGACCTGACGTGGAAATGAGTGATTTCCAGTGACTGTCTCATGTTGCGGTGTCTGCTGCCTGAGTGGACTTAGCTGGGTGCTGACCCTGAGTTAGAGGCCGCTCTGTGTGTGACCCTGGGTTGGGGGTCGAAGTAGAGAGAGGCTCTTTGCCCCTGAATCCTTGGCACTGAAGTACACTGTGGAGAGAGAGGAGACTGAGTGGTCGGTCTCCCTGGAGCATGTGGGGAGAGGGACAGGGAGGAGAGCAAAGCGCTTTCATGCTCTGCCCTGCCAGCAGGAAGGTCAGGGGGAAGGGGGGAGTGTCCAGACCGCTGTGGGTGGAGTTGCAGGAGTGCTGGGGGAGGAGGGGCTCTCCACAGTGGTCTGCAGATGAGTGACCCCAGAGCTGGCCTCCAGTGCTCCCGAGGAGAGAGGCTCAGCCGAGAGCTGTGGTGAGCCTGGTGAGCTGCGAGGCGCCAGCTGGCCGCCCTCCTGCAGGAGACTCCCCTCAGCTGCAGAGGCACAGGCTCCTCCCTGTGTTCTGGAAGGGCTCTCCAGACTCTGGGTGAGCGAGAGCATGTGGGCAGCGCAGGAGCAGGGCTTGCTTTAGAACAGCTCTGGCCACGTCTCCTTGGAATAGGTGGTCTCGATCATTTGTCGTCCTGCTGTATACCCAGCAGATGGGGTGGGGTTTTTTAAACTTTTTTGTGTGTGGAACCAGGGTTTGAACTTGGGCCCTTCTGCTTACCAGGGAAGCGCTTATTCTACTGAGCCATCTCCCCGGACCCTCTTTTAAACTTTCTGCAACTCTTTAATCCAGCGGGGCTCAGTCCTTCTTGGCAGCTGCCTTCCTCACGGCGGCCGGTTGCTCAGCTCCTCACGTTTCCTCTTGGCCTAGATGTGTGCCCCCTCCCTCTTCTTGATGAACCTAAGGACATGTTTGTCCTCGGAGACCTTGAGCAGCTCTGTGGTGTGGTGCTGTCGTCGGGGGCGAAGCTACACGCCTCCCGGATCGTGTCCCCAGGAACTTGTGTTTGGTGAAGCGTCTGACTGCAGCGGTGCCTGGGTTTGCTCACATTCTGAGTCACCTTGTGGCCCTTGTTGAGGCCCATGGCCATGGGATGGCAGAGAGGAGGGCTGCTGTTCTTCAATGGTTGCTGTAGCGCCAGATGGGGTCTTTTAATTTCATTTTAAATTTAGTTGTGCTGGTACGTTAGTTTTATTTCTTGGTGGCACTGGGCACTGAATCTAGGGCTTTCACACTGAGCTATGCCTTCACTCATCCTCTTTAAAAATTGTCCCACTGACCTGCCTGGAGTGCCGGGACTGTATGCATTAACTACAGTTAATGTTTGTATGTTGGCCCCCACTATTCATGTGTGCTGAGTTTTTATGTAGATTCTTTTGTGATAATTTTGTTTCTCCCTTGCCATCTGTATCCTTCCTAGCTCACAGCATTGGCTAGGACGGCCTGTAAAATGTAAGTAGGAGTAGGAGGAATCATTGTGTCAATCCCCAGGAACTTTCAAAATTCAAAACTTTACTTGTGGGAATTTTTTGTCTCTCTCTCTCTCTCTTTTTTTTTTTTTTTTATGTATCTGGTTGTTGCAGGGTTTCACTCTGCAGCTCGGACTCGTGGTGCTGCTCCTGCTTTCTGTCTCCCTGGGGCTGCTATTGCAGGCATGCACCCCATGCCCAAACTTTTGCCCGCTCAGCCCACCCTGGGGCAGGGCTGGAGTGGCATGCAGTGCGGGGATCCAACCACAGTCTGTGGGCTTGCCTATACTTGGCACTTTAGTCCGCTGAGCTATCTCACCGTCCCTCTGTGTTGTTTTTAAGAGAGGATCTCACTATTTGGCTCACTAGGTAGCCCAGGCTGGCCTTAAAATCATGGTGATCCTCCTGCCTTATCCTCTGTGCTTTTGTGAGAAGTTTTTAGCAAAGTAGAAATGGCTCCCTTTCATTCCTAGTTGACCAAGAATTATTAGGAATGTATGTTGAATTTTAACAGATGCTCCTTTTATGAAGATGAGGTTTTTCATTTATTCCTGTGATAAATTTTATACTCTTTTTGCATGTTCAGAATGCCCGAATGTGGTGGTTCCCATAATTTCCTAGCAACACCAACGTGTGGCTGACAAGGTGCGGCTTTTACAATTACTAAGCCATTTCTCCTTAACCTTTGGGTCTTGAACTATTTCGCTCAGGTGAGATAAGCTTAAGGGCTTTTGAAGACCAGTGTACACTGAGCGTGATTCTTGACCGTTTTCTTGTACCTCTTCTGAACGGGTCCCATGGTTCTGCTGTCGTTGACAGAAAAGTGTCTCTGGCCTTGAACTTCTTTGCTCAGTGAGACCGTCCTCGCATGCAGACACCCTGACGGGTGTCCCAGGTACAGGTGCAGCATGGGACGTTAGGGTCGTCACCGATCCTGTCTCCATGTGAGGGGCAGTGTGGGCGGGCCAGCCTGTGTGCTGGCCATCCCGGGCTGCCTCGGAGCTTCCGGACTTTGGCGCGGCTGTCCAGGGTTTGCTGGCGTGACCTTGGGAGCCAGAGGCTGGTCTCGGGCCTCCTCTGTGCCGGGTGCTGCCCAGTGGGTCGTGCCTGTCAGCCTGAGCCAGCTTAGGCTTGTGTCTTACAAGGGAAGCTGGGGAGCTGTACTTTCTTTTGACTGCAAGTGCCTGAAGCTTTGCATTTTCCCGCCTCATTGTCCTTTCCTTAGGAGAAACTTCAGATGGGGTGAGTAAGTCGGTGCAGAAGGTCTTTGACTCCATGCTTGGAGAGACGGAAGATGAGGTGGAGCAGGCAGAGACCCCCAAGCAGCCCACTGCAGGCGACCAGCCCACCACGGCGACGTTCACGTTTGCGTGGAGATGGTTCTGCACCCTGGAGCCAGAAAAGGATGACACGTTGTTGTTACTTATTTTAGTATTTTTTAAATTGAGATTAGTGACAGTCATGCAAGTGAAGATGTAAATTACCATTGTGGGACACCCAGATAAGGAAGAAATGCTGAAATAACTCTCATAGCTTACACTCTCTTGGGGAATTATTCTGTAAAAATCTTAATTATGTATATGTCAAAATCTAATTTTGTTCTTAAGTACTCTATAATATATCTTTAAAACCAGGCACATTCTGTGTGATATATTGGAAGAAGGGTGATCTTTACAGTAAGTTTCCTTGTGTGAAAATCAATTTTCCAGTGTAATTATTCCTATCACTAGCAATTTCCTGACCTCTGTGTTTTTTTGTTTTCTATGTTACCATAGCTTTGGGCATTTTATGCTAGAAAGTTTTGTTTTGTTCTCAAACCTGGCAAGTGCAAGGTCCTGACTTCAATTCCTAGTACTCAAAAAAAAAAAAAAAAAAAAAAAAAATACCGAAACAGACCCCACAAACTTGTCATTCTGAGTAAAAGCCAGAGCCCTCCTGTTGGATACATGAGCAGAAGGCTCCGTCCCTCTGAAAGATCTCTGTTTTGTTTCCAGGTTTTCTGTTCTTGATTTTGTTGTTTTGGTTTTTTTTTTTTTTGAGGGGTACAAGGAATTGAAGTCAGGACCTTGTGCTTGCCAGGAAGGCATGCTGCTGAGCTGCATCCCTGACTCCTTTCCTTGGTTTTTGTTTTGGGACAATTTCATAGAATAATTCTGTTCTTCCCTGCACCTGACTTTTAGATTTTTTTAAAGGAGTCAGGATTCCCAATACTATTACAGACTACTGGACTGTTTTAAAATATTTTGCTGAGTTAACACACCTATAATATTCAAATGACAGAACTAAACAAAAGAGATATATAAATTAATGTTGATTTTGTATCTGTGTATTCAAAATGGTTAGGATAGATATACAGTTACATTCTCTTAGTAGAGGGATTTGTTCTAATAGTGTTTGTAAATAGGATATTATGTCTGCATCTTGTACAGCAATTAACCACTAGGAAGAGAGTATGCAATGTATTAATTATTGAAACTGTCCTACCCATTTGGTTTGAAACTGTCTCATTGCTATTTGTTTCTCAATAAAATTATGGGAAGAGTCAGGATTGGAAATGCTTAGTCTACCTCTAAACTCAGAATAGTAAAAACTTCAGTTTTTTTAGGGTCTGTGTTTTTTACAGTAGTTAAAATGAAATGTAAAACTTTACTGTGTGTTATATGTAATGTATTTTAATCTACATATTTTTTTCTCATGCAGGAGAAGCCTCCAGGCAGACTGCCCAGAGCACTGAGGGGGCGCATGGGTGAAGCCAACACCCGCTTTGTGCAAGGCAAGCAGGAAAAGGCCATTTGGCTGTGCTTGGACATCATCCGACAAGGTGCTCCTCCAGGGCATAGGAATGCCTCACTGGAAAGCAGTCAGGGCAGCGTTTTCCTGAACTGTCTGTAGTATGCATTTAGGAATAGGCGGTGGTTGTATGTGCTGCAAATACCTTGCCTGTTTGTACACTAAATAGGACTTGTGATTCAGGAAGTGGAAATTGGGGAATTATGAGTGAAGTACTACTAGTACTTAGTGAACTTTGCACTTTCAGTTTTTTGAGTCAGGATCTCCCTGTGTAGTCCAGGTTGGACTCACACCTCCCCAGCGTGTGGATTGTAGCTGTGCACCACTTCATGTGCCTACCATTTAGTAAGCTCTGGCAGGCACCTTTTTCGTTGTTCTGTTTTTAATTGTATTAGTTTCAGAAACAGTGTCTCAGGAAACCTAGCTTAACCAGGCTCTGCTCAGCACGGGGACTGTGTGGCCACTCTGGCCGTCAGGTACTTGCTGCAGGGCTGCATCGGTGAAGCTCCTTCAGTGGAGCTGGGGTGAACCCGCTCGGGGACTGGCCATGGGTAGCTGCTGTGGACAGGCTATCCCAAGGATGTTATGGCAGAGAGTAGGGGTTTTTAGGATATTGCTTAAAATAATGCTTTATTTAAAAACTCTGCTGAGTGTGGTGGCAGATAGCTGTAATCCCAGACTCAGTAGGCTGAGTCACGAGGATCGACGCAGGTTGGAGATGAGCCTGGGCTGCACAGTGAGCCCCTGTTTCAAAACCAACAAAAAACTAAAAATGCCTGAAAAGAAAGTAAGACAATAAAGCGTTTATTCTAAATTCCATTAAATAGTTGGTATAATTCTGCCAGTATGATTTTATTTAAAATGTATTGGTATAACAAGGATCCACATTTGGAGACATCAGCTCATACAGTTCCCTTGGCCAATGAGATGTGTTTCTCCCCTTCCTGTAGCTCCTCTGGCTTATGAGCCATTCTCTACACTTGCCATGATACATGAGGACCAAGGTGACATGGAGAAGTCCTTGAGGTTGGCATTCACTGCTGCACATTTAAATCCCAGTGACACTGAAGAATGGGCTAGACTGGCAGAAATGTCCCTCGAACAAGACAATATTAAGCAGGCTATTTTTTGCTATACACAAGGTAATTTAAAAAACTTCCTTGCTTTGGTTAGATGCTTTATAATAGGTGTTTGGTATTTGCACTCGCAGCCATGGCTGTGATGTTGCTGAAATGGGTGGGTTTTGACACTGTTTCACCATCTGTTGTTCTTACGCTTATCAGCAGCTTATATTATGAGCTAATACATAGTACAAAAGTTGGTAGATGCATGATAGTACTTGGTCTTAGTTGAGCCTAATTAAGAAATCCTGTAATGATAGCTTTCTTTTAGAATAGCTACCCTGTTAACAGTGGACAATTAATTTTAAGTGTTTATTAGGCTTTCTGGGAAATGATAGGCAGCACTCAGCGATGGTGCACCTCTGTATGATACATACATAACTTCTATTCCTTTGGTTTTTTCCTAGCTCTGAAGTATGAACCTACCAATATCCATTTTCTGTGGGAGCGGTCAAGTCTGTGTGAACAGATGGGCGATCGTGAGATGGCGATGGACGGGTACCGGCGCATTCTCAACCTTCTGCCTGCCTCTGATGGAGAGCGCTTTCTGCAGCTGGCTAGAGACAAGGCCAAGTGAGTTTGGAGTTGAGTCCCTAGGTGCTGTGCTGCTGGTCATTGTATTTTATAAAATCAAAGCATACATTTGAAATGGAATCTGCCTCATGGAGATTTGAAGAAGCATTTTATGTTGTGACTAAATATAGGTGTTTATTTTTTTTCTTCCATCTCTGATACTTTTCTGTTTCCAAGTCAACTGATTGCATAGAGAACTTAATATATGAGGAAATCCAGGCTGGCTTTGAACTCGCTGTGAAGCATAGGCTGGCCCTGAGTTGTGAGCTGAGTAATCCTCTGGTCATCCTGCCTCATCGTCCCAGAGTGCCTGGATTACAGGTGTGCACCACTGTGCTTGGCTGAACAGAGTTTCAAACCACCCCACTCTCCAGCACTCAGGAGGCTGAGGCAGGAGGATTGCTGTGAGTTCAAGGCCAGCCTGAGCTATGTAGTGAATGCAAGCCATCCTGAACCACAAAGCAAGACCCTGCCTCAAAAAACAAAAGTTAGGACTAGGGAGATAGCTCAGAAATATAAACACCTACCTGGCAAGCATAAGGATGCAAGTTCAATATCCAGCCCCGCATGCCATGTAGTCTTGGCCCCAGATGTGGGTACCCACCACAGGGCCCGGGAACCGGATGTGGTGGTGCAGCCTGTAATCCCAGCATTCTGGAGGTTGAGACTGGAGGATCTCTGAGAGTTTCAAGACTGGCCTGGGGTTTACAAAAGTGAGCACAAAGCCAGCCTGAACTGCGTGAGACTGTCTGAAAACAAACACAAAAAACAGTAACTTCTTTTCTTGTGGAGCCTGCATGATAGAACAAGGAGATAAATAACTGTCAGATGTTGGTAAGTGATATGGAAACATGGGAAGCCGGGAAAGGGTAGGAATGGGAGCTATGGGAGTGTGCTGTTCTCCAGTAGTCATTAGAGTACACTTGAGGGCCTACACTAGGGTTGCACCAACGAAGGGGAGCAGGGGCTCTGGGAGAGGGAATCCAGGAGAGTGGCTGATGGGCAAATGTGTTCCAGGATAGCCTTGGGGAGCAGGGCAGAGAGCTTTCAGAGGAATGGAGCCTTCTGCTCATGTGTCCAACAGGGGGCTCTGGCTTTTACTCAGAATGACATTTTTGTGGGGTTGGTTGGTTTCCAGGTTTTCTGTTTCAGCACAAGGCTTCAATCTCATTGGCCTTCAACTTACTACATAGTCTAGGCTGGCCTTGAGTCCAGGTGCTCCCCGTCTCAGCCTCCTGCTGCCTGGGATCCCAGGTGTACTCTATCCCACCTAGCCGCCAAGTGTCTTTAAAAGCCACTAGAAAATGCAATAGAGGACTGAGATGGTCTGGTTTAAGTTTTACACGTGTCAGTTCTGGCTGTTCCTTGGAGACTAGGTTGAAGACTGGTGAGGGCAGGAGGAGGGAGACCAGGCAGGAGATCAAGCTGTGATACTTGGGAAAGAGTGGCGTGCACTGGGGCAGGCTCAGCAGGGGGCACTAAAGAGTCACGAGCTTCCAGGTGTGGCTTCCAGGCAGGGTTTCTATTGCAGGAAAGAGTTGTGGGTGCGCCTGTGTGCCCATGTATGTGGGCGTGAAAACATGGAAAGAAGGGAAGGAGGGGCGGACCAAAGAGGGAATAGGAAGAGTTCTGTCTTTTTTTTTTTTTTTTTATGTCACCTTTTTTATTTAGGTACTGGGACTCAAGACTTAGGACTTTGGGCTTGCCAGGCAGGCCCTGTGCTGCTAAGCTATATCCCTGGTCTTATGTGTCATCTTTTAACAGGGACCATGCAGACCTTCCCTCTGTTGTTCCAGTTTTTAGTATATGTGCTGCCAAAGTGGGAGCTCAGGGACAGGAAGAGCTCTGAGGCTCTGCAGCATTCAGTAGTCAAGGAGAAGCAGCAGCTGCAGAAGGACACGGCCGGGGCACTAAGCACAGGCGGGGTGTGCGGTTGTACCTGGGAGGGTACCGCAAGGGGTCAGCGTGATTGCGAGCAGGGAATGACGCCAGCAGATCCGAGAGAGGAGCTTGGGAGTGACAGCGAAAGCTAGACCGAAGCCGAAATAGAGCAGCAAAAGGCAGATTGGACTGGATGAAGCTGAAAAGGGCAGGGAGTGGCGTAGGAGACCAGGTGGGGAGCGGGCCGCGCTAGGAGGCTCAGAGGGGCACAGAAACACGTTTTAGGAATGAGAGGTGAGAGAGAGCGCAAGAGTAAGCTGCTCTGGAAGGGAATCGTGCCGGGTTGGAGGCACCCGGAAGTCTGTGAGAGCCAGGACAACTGGGTGTTTGTCTTTCAGATTTTAAGGAAATGAAAATCGGCTGTTAAATGCCCAAGTGGAAGTGGGTTTTGCAATGAGAAATAAGCAGTCATCTGTCTTGCCATTTGTTACAGAGGACACTGGCAAGCCAGCGAGGGTGCTTCCGCCATTAGCATGATTGAAGAGGCTTTCTCCATACCCCAGACCCTGAGCTCCATGGAAGGTGGCAGCCTCACAGCTGGTGAAAAAGCTTTGCAGGTAGATTTCCCAGTTTTGTACATGGTTCTGTGTTCCAGAAACTTAAAATTTTGCCATTTATTTTAACTGTTTAAGTTGTTTCAACTCTGCATAGAATAAGAGGTTTCTCAATTCTGTAATTCTATACGACATGTAAGATGTACTCCTAGCATGAATAACCCTGCCGTGTCTTCAGTGTCTGCAGGCCCTGGGTGGTGGGGAGGTTAGCCGATTAGTCATGTATCGAGCTATTGTAGATTTATATGGCATAAAAATGTATTGCAGGATTCCTGTGGTGGGAGTTGAGACAGCATTTCATTGTCCAGGATGGCCTTAAACTTACTTGGCAGCCCTCCTGCCTCAGCCTCCACATGCCAGATTACAAGCATGTAAAACCATGCCCAGTTTAGGATTCCTTATGTTTGTGGGTTCTTAAAATTGTTTGAGACATGGTCTTGGTATGTTGTTTACACTCACTGGTGATCTTCCTGCCTCAGCGTCCCGAATGCTGGGATTATAGGCATGTGCCACCACGCCTGGCTAGGAGTTCTTATTTTAATAAGACTGTTCCTTTTCTTTCTTTTTCTTTTTCTTTTTTTCTATGTGGAACCAGGGATTGAACTCAGGCCCTTGCGCTTGCTAGGGAAGCGCTTATTCCACTGAGCCATCTCCCCAGCTCAGACTGTTCCTTTTCATATCCCATTTTTTTGTTGGTAGGGATTTGAATCAGTGCTGCCTTCAAATTATGAAAAGGCTTTTTATATCTGACTGGAGTATTCTTTTTCTCTCAGGTAACTGTGGAATTTCCCAAAGTTGTACTAGATGAAGAAGCTTCAGAAGAAGACCAAGAAGCTGTTCCCTTAGAAGAGGAGAAGAAAGGCTGTAGTGTCATTTGGATGGGAGCCTGTCCTTAGTGCATGCTCGTTCAGAGTGTGGCCCTTAGATTGGTTGTTCATGCTGTGGAGGGACGGACCCCAGGAAGCAGCTTCTCTTCTGAGGGCTTTTGTGTCCCCATTTTGGTGAGAACTGTTTGTAAATGACCTTCTGCGCAGCGCTCTGAGTTGCTTGTTTTTCTGCCTGCGTGCATCTGAACTAGACGCTCCTCCCATGCGGGACTTGCTCTTTCCCCTGCAGGAGGAAAGGAGCTGCTGAGCACCTCGTCGGAACCCTTGAGATGCTGCAGTTTCCTTGTCAGAGAACCTTAACGGGCTGCACTGGCCCCGTCGTCCTTAGAACACGCACTTGTGGGCAGAGCAGGGGCCAGTGTGACCCCCTCGGGTGACACGTGGGAACGGGTGGTAGGAGATCCCTCAGCAAGTCCACCTGCCCTGCCATGTGGTTGCAGGGCCTTCGTGGTGCTGTTGCCCAGGTCTTTCCCTGTGCCGTTCCCAGGCACGCACTTACTCTACTGCGCCACCTCCCCAGCCCCCCTTGAGCCATTCCCGTCCTGTGAAGGGTGACCTGAGGGCCCCAGCTGAGCGTTGATAGTCGCTGCACACTTTTTTTTTCTCTATTTAGTACAGGGTCTCACCTTGTAGGTCAGACTCCTAGTGGTCTGCCTGTGCTCAGCCTCCCAAGAGCTGGGATTACAGGCGCGCTCCACCACGCTGTCTCCATCTCAGCATACCCTGGGGGCGGGGCCGGCATGGCACACCAGTGATTGCCCCTGACACTGCATCTGCCTAAGCAGGCGCTTTAATCTTAGCTATTCTGCCGGATCTTTTCAATTTTTTGAAACAGGGTCTCACCTTGTAGTTCAGGCTGACCTTGAATTTACTCTGCAGCCCAGGTTGGCCTCGACCTGGCAGTCTTCCTGTCAGGCTCCCGAGTGCAGGGATTGCAGGCGTGTGTCCCTGTGCCCTGCAGGTAGTGGCATTCTTGATGAGCAGAGATGTCCGTATTATGAGGGGATAACTGAGTGCTCCTTTCTGTTTCTACCAATGAGATTTCTGGTGGAATTGAGGCTGGTTACTGCCAGCCTCAGAACGGCCCTCCCTGCTTCGTGTCGATGTTCATCCCATCATTCTCTGTCTTTGGGTTAAGCCGTCATTATGGAAAAACAAAGTGAAAAAATACAATCTATCGTGTTTTGATGAGAACTAATTAAAGCAACTTGTTAGCTGGGTGTATTGTCACATGCCTGTAATCCCAGTACTTCAGAGACTGAAGCAGGAGGATTGCCCTGAGTTTGAGGCCAGCCTGGGCTACAATCGGGGAATTCAAGGCCAGGACACACTACATAGTGAAATCCTGCCTCAAAAAGCAGTTTGCCTTCATTCACAGACACCAAGGCCTTAGCTGTGGGCAGGGAAAGGTGATGTGGAAGTGGAGCAAGCGGGTCAGGGCAGGGAACTGGTCGTCTAGATCTTTCTCTTTGGGCTGTGCTGTGTGGGGACCCAGGCAGCAAGGTGTTTCCTGCCTGTGAGCCCTAAGGGTGCAAGCCAGGTGCGACCTGCCATCCTGCTGGTGGGCGGGTGCTAAGGAGAGAGTACTGAGGACTCTGCTGAGTGAGGGCCTGAGGCTGAGATGGCTCAGAGTACCACCTGCCGGCACGTTCCACGACCCCTATTCAGGGTGCAGCCCTCCCAGCAGAGTGAGCATCTGTGGTCATTAGCAGGCCATTTCACCCGGGTGGCAAGTTCGGGTACAGAACACCCGTACCCTGCACCGGTGCTGTGTCCACGCCAAGGGCTCCGCCCAGCACTGGCAGCTGCCAGCCCCCCATGCCCACCACAGATTTGTCTCCATGATGCAGTAGGGTGCTGACGCCCCACATCCCCTCCAGTGGCTGTGCAGATCTCTTTCCTGGGTGTGGGCAAGACGACCTGCCAGGAGGCCCCTCTGGGCATGGCCGAGTCTGCCAGCGGCTGCCTCCACCCTTGGCCTTTGCAGGCCTTCCAGGCAGGCTGGCCCTGAAATCCTGTGGGAGGCTAGACTGCGTCAACAAAACCCATCTGGTGGCCCCCAGACTCCACGTCTGTGAGGTCAGTGACCCACTTAGTCCCCTCCGGATCCTAAGGAGCCAAGGCAGGAGCATCCCTGGCCTGCCGTATGTGACTGAGGGGGCAGGAGGCTCCATCTCAACGTAACCTCACCTCGACTCAGCCTTAAAGGTGGAGAGCTTACTGAGGACCTGAACAGCTGTGAGTTGCTGACAAGATACGAGTCAAGGACTTGGAGGGGGAAAAGGACCCGAGACTGCTGCACAAACCTAGGACATTAGCATTAAGGTGGGATTCCCTGCGCCAGCCTCTGAGCAAGAGCAGTATGGGTCTGCACAGGTCGGGGTGGCGTCTCAGGACGTGTCTTCCTAGGGCCTCATCATCTGCTGTGAGCTCAGAGACCCCTAGCCTTGAGGACATCGGACCTGGTTCCACTCCTCAGCCCAGGGTGGACAGCCTGAGTCCTAGTCTACGCCAGAGTCAGCCCAGGCCCAGAGTGGTATTGCCTGGCTGGGGCCCAGGAGGGGTCTGGACTGTCCTCACCTACCACCGGCAGCATGGTGGCCCCAGGCCTGGCCATGGTCCTGTGGAGCAGCTCCAAGCAGGCCTTCCCAGATCCCCGCTGCTCCCTATGCTGGGTGTGAATGTTCCCCTCACTCGAATACCCCTTCCTCCAGCCTGGCCCTGGGAACCTGCTGGGTCCCTAGTGCTGAGGAACTTGAGTCACAGCTGAATAACCAAGACACTGGCAACATATACCTGGTTCTCTGTTACAAAGCAGGCTGGGCATGGCAGCCTGCCTCCCCCTGGAGCAGGCCTCCCTCGATGTCCTGCCTCCCCCGGCAGCTGTCTTAACCTGAACAAGGAGCAAACCCCCATGTGCCTAATGAAGCCACTGCCAGGAAATCTGCTCTTCCAGTCATTGGCCCACTGGGCAGGGCAGGGCAGGGTCCTCCCAGAGGCCTGTCTTGCGCTCACCAGCACATACTGCAGCTCCCTTGAGGCAGCAGCAGGCAGCTGTCCGAGCAGTCGTGTGCTTTCGGGCCAGCAGCAAAGGAAGGCATACAGAAACCCAAGAGGTTGGCCGGATCACCCATCCACTACTCCACAGTCATTCGGCAGGAGTTGATGAGTCGGTGCATCCAGGCACGCAGGACAGTCTGCTACCTCCTGGCTGCCCGCTGGACACAGTGCAGGCCATGCAGCTGCCCATCTGTGAGGTGGGCTCTGGCTGCACAAGGTGGGGTATGGACCCTCAGGGAGGGCGGGGGTGCTGCTCCTCTGCTGCTGCTCTGCTGCTCACTGGGCAGTGGGAACCTTGCCCCCAGCAGCTGAGCTTATGGGGGCCACGGGCCAGCTGGGCATCACCGGGGGAACCTCGGACTGGACAGTGTCAGGTGGGCTGGCTGCGTGTGGATACTGGGGCAGTGGCGACCAGGCTCAGGTAGAACTAGAGGCAGGCAGACAGTGCTGAGCCCTTCAGGGAGTCTGTGCAGGAGAAGGGGAAGCACTGGGACTGGCTGGGGCCATCTGTGGATTAAAGTCACTGTGGCTAGTTCTGTATTCCTCAGGAATGCACAGGGACTGGGAGGATGGGTGCCACCTTTGGAGATTTCCATGATCCCATGGGGGGTGTCCTCTCCCATCTACTAAGAGCAAGACCACTAAGCCTAAGACTGCTAAGACTAAAGACAAGACTAACACTAGATTATCAAGCAAAGGGGTTGGGAGATAGCTCAGTGGCCTAAGTGCCTGCCTGGCAAGCGCAAGGTCCTGAGGTCAACCCCCAGTACCAAAAATAAAGAGAGCTTATTAAGCAAGGTTAATGATGTACCTTTGCTACCACGAGATTAGTATTACTTAAGTGACTACACTTCAATCGCATTGATCATAATTTGACCCCTGTTGTAGCTGCCTCATAATTTTACTTTAGAAAACTTTAAGATGGGCCCTAGGGCAACCCATTTGGGCTCCTCCTGTCTCCCAGGAGCTATTCTTACCCCCATCCCCACATCTCACTCCCCATTCCTTTTCTGTAGTAAAATTTCCTACCCCCCCCCACCCTTTGGTACCGGGGATCGAACTTGGGAACTTGCGCTTGCCAGGCAGGTGCTTCTGCCACTGAGCTATCTCCCCAGCTCAGTTTTTTAAATGTATTTAGTAGAGGGGTCTCACTACACAGATCAGACTCATGATCCTCCTGTTTTCAGCCTACCAAGCACTTGCATTATAGGTGTGTGTGCCACCACACCCAGTCTGTCCGTCTGTCTGTCTGTCTCTCAATGTATTTTCCCCAGCCCAATTTTGATACTCTTGACCTCTATTGTTCATTAGAATTCAGTCTTCAGGGGACACACATAATGTTGGCATATTTGACACCTACTGTTTCCCCTGTACCACTAGTGCCCTTGCCCTCGCCTGCACTGGCACACAGGTGGCTGGAGGAGAGGCAGCTTACCTTTACCTGCTGCATCCTGACTGTGTTTCCTTTGTAGGGGCTACTTTAGGTGTAATGAAAAGTTTAATCCTATATTTCTACCACTGTTCAAGAACAAGACTGGGGGCCCGGAAGATAGCTCAGTAGAATAAGTGCTTGCCTAGCAAGCGCAGGGTCCTGATTTCTATCCCCAGTACTGCAAGGCTGGGAAGCACAGTTGGTTCTCATAATTAGGGAGCTCACTAGCACTGTAACTTAGGCTTTCGGAGCCAGCAGGGAGGAAAGTGCAGCTCTGCCCGAGGTTGGGGCTTTGTGTGCTTTCAAGTCCCAGGGAGTTCCGGCCAGGACACCTCTGTCTGGTCTCACACCATGGTTGATTCTTCCGCCAGGGTATCCTATAGTAAGATAGTACCTTATTAGTTTCTGAGGAGTAAATTCTGCCTAGCAGTTAATGACAAAAGATAGGTGTCACCAACCCTAAATATTATCTGTCATTTTGTACTTCCTTCTGAAAACCTATGTAAGTGATTGGTAACCTTAAAAAGAGGCTGGTGATTTGAGCCCGTGGGCTCCCCAGCCAGCTAAGGTGACAAAGCTGCCTTGCAGAGTCTCTCTGGGTCTCTTCCACTTGGCCTGGTCCTCAATTGCACATGCCTTTCTCACAACACCCTAGCTCAAATGTCCAAACATGTTCCCCTCATCCAGTAAAATTCACAGGACGTTTTGAGTACGTGCAGGGCCACAGTGCTGGGCTTCTAACCTCTGGCCTGCCTGTGCTCTTCTCAAGATGCTCATAGAATGTCCTGCAGAGGAAAATGAAGCCAGGGTGACCACACTCTGGTTCAGTGGTTCAGGCCATGTGTGCGTGCATGCGTGTGTGCGCGCATGGGGTAACTCTGGAGTCAGTGGGATTGCAGGGCAGGTGTACCTAGTGACACAGGGAGAAACACTGATCCAGGGTGGGTGACCTCCGAATGATAGAGGGGAAAAAAGATCTCCCACCTGAAAAGTACCTGGGATGAGTTCATGTTCTTTAAAACCAAAGAATGAATTTCAGGAACAAGCGGACGTTATGAGCAGCATTTATTTATTGGGGGAAAGAAAGCTGTCTGATAGAGGGACAGGAGGGGGGCCCCGAGTGGGTGGTCCCTGGGAAGCTGTCTCTTCCAGGGACTTTTAAAGACTAGTAAAACCATGTAGTGAGGCAGGTCTAAGGTGGTGGAGAACATGGGAACTCACTTAGGTGGGCATCAGGTGGGACAAAACTATGGTCAACCAATGAGGTTACAAGCACCATTGTGGTAAAATTGATTAAATCAGAATCATGGAGAAGTGAGTCACATAGCAAGTGAGCATGAACCGAGAGGGACAGGGTCTCTTCCTGTTGGGCGTTGGGTTAGTGACTCATTTGGGCTCCTTGGAGGAGATTGATGCCTATTTAGAATACCAATCCCTGTCCCTAGGGGAGTATGTAGCTGTGTGTGTTTCCTCTTTGGTCATGAGGTGTGGCCCACATGGGAGTGTCTGTCTCTTCCAAGTTGCAAAGCCACCTTGTCTTCCATCTTGTCTCCTTGAGGGCCTGGCCCTGTCTGACTGCCTATAATATTTCTATCTAATTCAGCTGCCTATGACACTAGGATTCTCAGTGTAAATAACTTACATAACCAAGGAGGTACAGGCAAAGCTGCTCCTGTGTATGGCCCTATAAATCGGGCGGCCACAAGGACCAGGGGTTGGTCAGCTGGCTAGGGACTTGGGCCACAGAGTGGCAGCAGGTGGGACCCGAGCACAGCTGGACAAATGCAGTAGCAGCTGGGTGCTGGGAGTGGTGAGTTTGTGCAGTGGCAGAAAGAGATGGATCAATGTGGAGGCCCGCTCAGCTGTCCTGGAAGTAAGAAAAATGGCTCCTGCATTTCCTGAGCGGGTCCTGCGCCCTGAGAGGGGGGCTGCAGGGCCTCTCAATCCAGGGCTGGTTAGACAAGCAGAATGCAGGAAGCGCTCCATTGCTAGCGGCCATGTGTCACAGGCGGCTCTGCCTATTTAAAATGACCAGTTGGAACTGAGACTTCTAACCCAGTTTTTCAACTGGGGTAGGGCAGGTTTTGAAAGAAAATGGAGGTTTAATTATTTTACATGTATTTTTATTTTCTGGGTGTTTTTGAGACGGAGGCTGGTTATGTAGTTCAAGCTGGTCTCAACTTGCTGCGATCTTCCTGTCTCAGCCTCTCCAGTGGTGGGATTCAGGGCTGCACCCTGGCACCTGGGCAAACGGGATTTTAGAAGGAAAAAATCTTTATTTTGTATTATGATTTCTTTGGACTCAACCTCAGTAGGAAGCAGGCTGCATCCAACGGAAAGGAGCAAGGAGGACACCTCTCGGATCCCCAATCCTCGGCTCGGTAGGGAAAGGCTGTGCCCACTCACAGAGGGGCGTGGCCTGCGCCCTGTTTGGAGTCCCGGAACCTTTGTTCTCAGCCCGACGGGTTCCCGGAAGGACGCCGCGCGCGCTCCGAGCTGCTCTTCCGGTTTCGCCGTCGGGCTTCCGGGCTCCCTCGAGCCGTCGAGCAGACATGTCGGGCTTCAGCCCCGAGCTCATCGACTACCTGGAAGGAAAGATATCGTTTGAGGAGTTCGAGCGGCGTAGAGAAGAGCGGAAGACGCGGGAGAAGAAGGTGAGGAGACGCCCGGCCGGCGCCCCGGCCCCGGGGCGGGCGGAGCCTGTGCGCGGC